GCTGCAGCCGGGAGGCTCCAAACAGCTGTGCCGGGCTCCGGCATCAGCTCCACACCAGTGCGTGGACCTGCACGTTGGAGCGGGCTGTGAGAGAGGGGCCTGAGGCAGCGCAGCCCTGGTCTCTCCCCAGCTCCCAGCACGGAGGTGATGAGCCCGGCACAGCTGTTTGTAGCCAGCCCGGGCTCTGGGCAGCTGCAGCAAGCAGTGGGCAGGCTATAAACAGCTGCGCTGAGCTCATCACCTCCATGCCAGAAGCGGGGGAGAGACCAGGGCTGCGCTGCCTTGGTCCTCTCCTCCACCGCCCACTACGAGGCGCGCCTGCTCGTGCCGGTGTGGAGCTGATGCCAAAGCCCGGCACAGCTGTTTGGAGCCTCCCAGCTGCAGCTGGCCCCAGCTCTGGGGAGCTGCTGCCAGCCAGGAGCCTGGGCTGCTCCCAGCAGGCAGCTGGGACGCTGCAAGCCCTGATGGGAGCAGCCCGGGTTCTGTCGCTGGCAGCAGCTACCCGGAGCTGGGGCTGTCCATGGCGTGCCAAACAAAATGGCCTCGCGTGCCACGGGTTGCCAACCCCTGACCTAGGTCCTCTCTCCATCTGGCAAGCACTGCTAACCCTTCTACCAGTTGAGGCAATGAGAGTGAGCCAGCAACACATTTAAGCTGTTGGCATCTGGCATCTATCTGGTAAAAGGGTAAAGTTGCTTTGGACAAACATGGTTAGTCTATTAAACTTAACATCACATGCTTCATTCTGCAACAAAGTACCCTTTTCTTTTTTCTCAGTCCTAACCCTTTTTTTTTGCTCTCTGCCCAGGTACCATGTAATTGTGGCTATAAATAGAGGACTTGCCTTTTCATTTCATAAAGGAAAGATACAGTATAAGTGAGATATACTTACTCAATTGAACCATCTGGTGGTTTAGGGAGCCTACATTGGAGGAAAAAAAACAACTGATTTGAAAAAATTCATATTCTTTGAGCCTTTCCCCATTTTATCTAAATGAGCATGCAGTAAACATCAGAGACCAATCAATATACAGTACACCTAGATTATACTCTAACTGATGTCACACTGTGTGTTAAAGTTCTCTATGTAGCTATGTGCTAAAACATAAAAATTCCCATGTACTAAATGAGGTATTTTAGAAGAAACTAAAAAAAATTAAAATTTAATCACTGTTTTACACTTCCATCTTACCAGCCCTACATTAATAAGAATCACTACTTAGTACTTAAAACAGAATCTTTTCCTCAGTATTTTAAAAGAGAAAAGCAGAAAATGTATCATCCTGTTGACAGTAATGGTACACAAATTATACCAAAAAATCTACAGAGATAAATTATTTACCTCCCATCACTGAGACTTGTTTTGTGTCTTAAAGACATTTTTAAAAAGTAAGAAGAAAAGACTAACTCTAGAGACCAATAATTTTATCACTAAGACTAGCCAAGAATCTCTTGGCAATGCTGTCAGACTAGAAAATGTCATAGATATGCTTTTAGTTTGCTTTCATGGTTATTTTTTGCAAAAAGAAAAAAGACAGTACTCAGGATTATAAGTCTTATATACATTTATTTCATTCTCCTTTTTTTATCTTGCAATGAAATTGATAAAGGCATAACTATCTCCTGCATCATTTTTAAACTCTTGTTTATATTTAAAAGTATTTTTCTTGTTTCTGAAAATATCCAAGTCAGATCTGGGTATATCAAGTTGTTTAAACTGCTGGAAAAAAAGACTTTTCCCTATCTCACTGGATGTAAGACCCAATTTGGTTAAAATGTGGAAGAAAGGACGACCCTTGGAAGTAGACAGTACTACTAAAAGTATGATCTAATGTAGAGACAACATATGGATCATCCAGAGGCTTCAAACCCCAATGTGTGAGAGATACGGAGGACCTAATTATTAAATATTATAAAAGCCTAAGTCTGTCTGTAATGCTTTATTCACACTCTGACTGGCTGACAGAAACAGCCAATCAGAGTGCTCCAAGAGTGGGGCAGGCCACCATTATTCCAAAGCTGCGCCGAGGACCAGACAGAAGGCAGAGGAGCCGAGGCCAACAGCGCTGGCTTCGGCTCCCCGACTCTGCTCCCTGGAAGAGGCAGAACAGTGGTAGCATGGGGCATTAGGTGGCGGCATTCCATCTAGCCCCCTCTGCTTCCCCCTCCACCCCCTCGTCATTCTTGATGGGCAATTGGCTAGTTATTAGATGTTGCTATTCATTCTAAAGGGTCTCTGGAAAAAATGAGGAGGCAGAATCCTTTCCAATGATAAGATCTTCCTTTATATATTGTTTAAACTGTAGCACTTCTAGAGCCCACACCAGGAGGAGATGCTAGGTGCTATACAAACCTGCCTTAAATATCTTACAAGCAGGTTCTTTTTTTTTAATAACATATTATGGTTTTGATGGCATCTTTCAAATCAATTTTCTTTACATTCTGATGCAATATGCAGGGAAATATAAGCCCAATCACCAAATGTTCTACCACAACATATGTGGTGTTGCAAAGTAAAACCACTGGATGTGAAGCAAGCACTGTGAGATGCCACATCATACCACTTTTCATGACAAGGGAAATAATACTTCCACCAAAATGAACTGCTTTTCTTTTGCATGGGTGCATTTACACAAGATGCTTACTGAGCATAGGCTAATCTAATGTACAGTAAAGCATCACCGTGTAGACACGTGTGGCAATTACTGAGCAGTAGATTAGTCTAATGCACTGCTTTCTAGTACCAGTAGATACAGGTACTAGACAATGACACATTAAACTAATGTGCCAAAGTGCATTTGTAGACGCTGATCAGGAACAAATTGCTCTTGGTCAGCTCATGCAACAGGGGGTGGGCAGGGAGCTGGAGACAGTTCCTTACCTGCCCCCTTCAGCAGCTCCAAGCTACATGGAGCTCAGAGCTCCGTGGGGCAGGCAGAGAGCTGGGGAACCCAGGCCTGATTCCCCCTATGCTCTCTGTCAGCCCAGGGCTGGCACCCCAGGGAACCTGAAGTTCCCCCTAGCTGCTGCAGGGGGGCAGAGCAGGGTAGGACCAGCCCTGGACTGAACTGCTCCCATTGAAAGCAAATTTGCTCCTGATGCGGGCGCACGTTCAGACGTGTGCCTGGGTAGTCTAAATGTGCCTGCACATTAATTGTAGGTGTAGATATATGCCCTATGTGTGGCATTACCGTGATAACAGAACAAACAAATTATGACAACCATTTAGATCAGGGGTGGGCAAAATGGTGGATCCAGCTGGACTTCATTTTCCAGTAGCCCCTCCCCACATTGCTATGGCCAATTTCCATGAGCCACTCCAGCAATGGCAGGGCTGGGGCAGCATGGGGCCAGGGTGTCCACGGAGACCAGGCCTCAGCAGTGCTGGTAGGGTGTATGGCTGGGTGGAGAGCTGCTTCGGGCCAGAATCTTGCAGTGGTGACAGCATGGTTTGGAGCCAGGGCACAGCCACAATCCACTGCCTGCATGTTCCTTTCTGGGCTTCAGTGACACAGGCAGGGGCTGGTGGGAAACGGAATCTGCTGTGGGCCTGATCTAGCCTGCAGGCCGGACTTTGCTCACTGCTGATTTATATGCTATATTTGTAACCACCCTATTTCAAGACAGATTCGATTCCAACACTAAGGTTATCTTGAAACTCAAGGGTTTTTGTGATATCTTTTATTGGACCAACTGTATATCATTTGGGAGAGCTCGTGAACAAACTTTTAGGACCTGAGGAAGGCCACCTGATGCCCGAAAAGTTGTCCAACAGCTCCTTCAACTATACAGACAGCCCACTAAAAGATATTGCAAGAATGCCCTGCCTCAACTTTTCCTGGACCATCATGACTATAACAACACTCCAACCCTACTTGAAAAATGAAGGCACTTATGGACATACCTGCAATTACAAAACTTCAATTTTTTTAAAGTTTATTTATCCTACAAATAATCATACTTGGTCTTCCAAGCCCACAGTTAGAAAAATCAATTATTTGGTATCGAAGACAGACTGATGTGTGGAAAAATAGCAGTATAGGAGCTGATTTTTCTCTTATTTATATAGGTGTCACATAAGCAGGGCTATACTGACTTCATTGGCGATATTCTTGATTTGAGTACTTGACTGAGGGGAGAATCAGTCCCATTCGTGTTTTGGGGTGGGACACTTCTATAGTGTTCATCATTAGAATATCTGAACTTCAGGTAGTAACAAAATAGGATCAAACTTGCACTTGCCAGGCTGGAAGATACTTTATAGACATATTTAGGTCCTGAGTAAGAAAAGGCTAATAAAAATTCAAGAGCCATGTTTTCTGAAGTGTCCAATATATTTTTGAATCTCAAGTTGGGTAACTAAACACTGCACACTTAAAGCTAGAAGAAACCTTTAAAATATGTAGTGATTAGCCTTTAAAAGGACAGGAAAAGAAATACTGCTTGGGTCAAATTTAGCTCTTGGGTATGTCGGTATTTTATTGGAGCTACTCCAGATTTATGCTGAAGTTCACCAGTATCACATCAAATTTACACTGGTATAATTGAGAGCATACTTTCACTCTACTACCATATGTTACACACTATAGTTTTTCAAGCTAACCAGTTCTATCATTTAATGGGCTCTACAAAAAATGCAGTGTAAATATATACTCATGTTCACTTGATCAATATGGAACTATCAACATCTGAATATACGGCATTCATTGGAGTTCATGAAGTTTATAATCAGCTTAAAATTTCTTTGGGATAGAATCTGGCTGTACTGAAAGGAGAGATTTATTTTAGCTAATGGTTCAAAAATTATTTCTCCTTTTTATGTCACAATGATGTAGAAACAGATCTTGTGTTTCAGATCTTACTGAATTATGTGCATGCCTTGAGACACTCTTATGTGTCTCGTGTGTTTGCACTGCCTTGTAGCATGGTGCAGAATGCAGGGATGACTTAGCTCAGACTTATTAATGGGGGATAAAGCTAAAAGGTGGCTTTGCAATATGGTTCTCTCCAACTTTCCTGCATGCTTTGAGCACGTTGTAAAAAGCTGAGGCACACACACACACACAAAATCCAGGATGGATGATATATCCTGCTACTGGCTACCAGGCAGTATATCTGAAAGCTGGTTAGACTATGCAGCTATAGAGGGAGGATCAGAGAGGATTGCAGTATGGAACACTTTCACCTAGGCTAGGGACAGAGGTTACAAATAAACTGGTTTAAGTGATCAGAAACTGGTTTAAACCTGTAACAGAACAGAAATTCAGTGCACATAAACTACTCTCAAAATGGCTGAAACTGGTTTAAGACAAACCTGGTTGAATGTAGTATCAAATTTAACAGGTTTATGTCAAACTGGTTTACAGAACTGCTGCTCCAGACCTCTTCCTGGTTTAAGTTAAGTCGCAGTCCCCCAGCATCCCAAGATGCTTTGCAGCCCTTGGCTATGCTGTTCTGGGCTGGGGGAGCAGTGCTGGCCCCACCCCTCTCCTCTTAGCCAGAGCACTATCACTGCTACAGCTGGCTAAAAAGGGGGTAGTGGTGGGATGAGTGGCAGAGTGGGGTGTGTGGCCAGACACCAGCCCCAGGCCTGAGGCAAAGTGGGGTAGGGAGGGAGGGACCAGGCTGGTGTTGTCGTGGGCAGAAGCAGAGGAGAGGCGAGCAGGGGGAGACATGCCCCTGGAGGCATCCCAGCCCTACCCCCCACCCCCAGTGATGCAACAATGGGGAGAACGTGGGGCGTTCAGAAATGGGCGCCACACCCAGGGGCACCCGATGACTGGCTGCTTCTCCCGCTGGGCCCAGGCCCAGGTTTAGGCCCAGGCCCAGTGCAGGATGGGTGTCCCCAGGATAGGTGAGGGTGGTGGCACTGATCAGGATACAAGTGGGGATCCCCCCCCACAACTCCTGCTGCTCTCTCTG